GCAGCAGTACGAGCAGCAGCATCAATACCGGCAAGAGCAGCAGCAGCAGGAGTATTAGGAGCAGTAGGAGGAGTTAAAGTTGTTGGTGCAAACATAAGAAAAATGATGAAAGAGAGAAGAAGTGCACTGGAAGTCGAAAAGCTGGAGAATGAATTCCTGGAGATTGTTAAACCATTGAAGAACCAGCTGGAAGAAATAAAGAAGACGTGTGAGGAGGAATCAGTCAAAGTTCAGGCTGAGAAGACTCTGGAGGAGTTTCAGAGGATCTTCAGACGAGGGTCTGAACTGAAACGAGGGAGGGTGAGAGCTTTGGCTGTAGCTGTTAGAGTGATGGAGAGGATCGGTGAACTGCTGCTGTTTGTTGTGAAAGGCTTGAGAATCACTGCGGCACCTGAAGAGGACAGAAAGTTCAGAGACTCCGTCATCCAGTCAGCCGATCAGTGTCAGAAGATCATTGATCAGATTGATCAGATGAAGCGGAATCTTTTTTATTTGAAATTTTATTGTCATTGATTGAAATGTTTCAGCTCTACAGCACTTCATTTGACTTAACCCCCAAGAGACATCGTTGCTCAGTGCCATAGAAGTGACCCCTGGCTTTCCTGTCGGTGGCCCGACCGACTCCTGCTCAGTTGGTGGACCAACTGACTTCCGCTCTCAGAATCCAGTCTGCGGCCCAGCCCACTCCGGTCCCATGTTCCCTGTCACCTGTTTCCAGCCCGCTTGACCTGTTGCTGGTTCCAAGCCCATTTCCCCAGTTGCCGGTACCTAGCCCAGCTGTCCAGTTCCCGGTACTTGGCCCAGTTTCCCTGTTGCCAGTAGGCTGCCCAGCTGCCCAGTTGCCAACCTCCAGCCCCATCAGCCCAGTCTCTGGTTCCCTTTTCAGCTGCTTTACTGCTGGTCTTCAGTCCTGCCCGGCCTCCGTAAGGTTTCCGCCTTTGGCGCCAGCTGCTTGACCTCCAGAAAGTCTTGGCCTTTGTCGCCGGCCTCCAGTGGGTGAGGGATCTCCTCGCCGCCCCCCTGCATGGCCTCTGGAGAGGTCTCCTCTTTATTGACGGCCTCCAGAGAGCTTCTCCTTCTTCTTCTGGAGTTATTTTGATGGCCCAAACATGATCCCGTGGTGTGCGTGATAAGAACTGCACAATAATACTTGTGGTCACACTCACAAACGGGCTATTCCTTTTCATGTCGCATCTCATATCTACTGCGGCGATTATGACTGTAGACGTGAGCACTACATTATAGCCACAAAAAAGAAATAAAAAAACATCAGCATGCAGGGAATATTTAGTTTGGAGCTGAGCTAAAGCAGCCTGAGCGATTCAGAAAATAAACAAACATGTTTATCAAGCTTTTTTTCTTTTCTTTCTTGACCTTACAGCCTCCAAGACACTGCACATTGTCACAGGAATACTTTTAAACAGTGACGAATACTGTCAACATATGTTCAATAGGCTAATTGACAACACTGAGCCACCAACCTGCTCTAACTCCCAACTTGATGTAACGCGCTGGGGATCCCTATGGCATCATAGTTCAACGCAGTGGGGGAAGCCCTGTTTTAGATGGTAAAGGCAGGTATAGTATATTTAAAAAAGACTGAGTAAGGACATGGTTGGGGTGGATGGAAGGCCAGAATCCTGACTTTCAACCAGAAGACGGGCGTGCATGTCCCGTGTGAAACAAAAAGTCAACATTAAATATTTTTATTTAAGTTACATAAATTACGCAAACAATATTGCTAACTTACTTGTCAACTGACGTATGCAGTAATTTGAACCCAAACCAGGATCTTTTCCTAACCCTAACCAAGTACTTTTTGTGCCTAAACCTAACCAATTTGCAACGTTTCACAACTGTAACAATGTGCCGTTTCAAGATGGTGATGTTTAACCATGCTAGCATTTTATTTTGAAAGTATAACTGGACGTTGCATATTTATTGTTGCTAAGCGCTGCTACCTTGACCGCGGATCCCCAACTGTCTAAAAATGACGCTGACCCTGGTTGTTTTAAAGCGACGCCAAAGGGCCTTGACCAAGAGTAGGGAGTAAGAATGTGTTGCAGAGGCAAAGGAAAGTAGAATCCAAGTGTTGGCCTAATATTCTGTCCCCAACACAGTTTGTTAGGCCTGCCAAAGTTTTGTGTTTGTTGTAGGATATAGTAAAATATAAGGTGCCCAGTCAGACCTTTATTTGCCTTTACGTGCTCGTCAACAACCAAGCTTTAGTCCAGATGAGCCCAGCATGGCGTGCTATTTAAACGGGCTAATGATTGAAAATTACCTGAACATTTCAATCCGTGTATCGTCCGTTCATATACAGTTTGCCAAATTACTAATTACTAATTACTAATAACCATTGGATGTACTGACAACTTTCAGTGATTGACTTTGATACTGGAGAAATTTCAAGAACTGGACGATTCTCAGGCGACTTCCATTCCTGTCCCAGGACACACATACAGTGAGTGGCACCGTGCACTGAACGTTGAACCTCGTGTTCTTCTAACTGAAATCCCACCTACGTTAATGTGTAAACTCATCTTCATTACATTAAATTAGACACCACCATCGCCTGAGTGTATTTGCTGCAGGTTGATCAAGTGCAAGACACAAAGATGCACAAATCAGACACATTAAATATCAAAATCAAAGTTGTTCTGTTTTGCTTTTGAAGCAGAATAATCAACGAAGGCACGATACACGGATTTGTCATCAATGGTTCTCCTCGCCCCATGAGAAAATCAGTCCTAGGGATTCCTTTGTTGAATATCAGCTCTTATGAGAAACATGAGGAGAGAGTTACAGGGAAATAGTGATGGGGATTCACAGTTTGATTAGAGTGTGGTTGCTGAGCTTCAGAGAGGGCTTCAGTCACTGGAGAGTGCAGCAGAGCAGATCAGGAGAGCATACCCAGATGTAGACCCGCATGTGGCAGAGTTGTTCAGCAAAGAGGAGCTTGCTGTCATTGATATCCATGTGCCGTAGCCATGCCATAGAAGTGTGCACAGACATCGCAACAGGTCTAGAGATTCTGAAGAAAGTGTTGTCAGTGAAGAGGAGTTCAGGGAGTGAAAGGAGTCACATGCAGATATATCAGAGAGGAGGACGAGAGGAGTATGGTGAGAGCAGATACAGCAGCAGTCAGCAGAGTGTGAAGAACGTCTACAGGCGCCAACAGCTCTACAGGAGGGTGGAACATGTGATTTTATTTTACATGGATGTTCTATTGTTTATAATTAGTAAATAAGATGACATGTTTCCCGCACGCCAAGTTACTTTCCTCGCCCTTCAAGGCGGTCAGATCATCAAAACTTTACACGCTTGTGAGGTCTTATAGCGAGACGTTCACAGAGGTTTCTTTAAATATCTTTTATCATTCTCATGTTATGTGGTATTTTATTTGTAAATATGGGGTACTGTAATATTTTAAATAAATCCATTAAAAAAAACAATATTTAGTTAAGCCTTCTTTAAATGTCTGGCCATTTTATTACCATAAAACCAAAAAACATCCATGTGACTCTGATCAATATGCTGGAAAAAGGATTTTTGTGATTTAATTTAATGATGGAAGAAAATGAATGAAAAAGCTGTTTCAATCTTGAATTTTATCCCCCATTATATTTTCTCTTGTTCTGGTGGTCTGAGCTTTATTTTGAACTGTAATTATAATGTGGACACACTTCCTGTAACACTATCCAACTCCCACCAGTTCCTGTTAGCAGGTCTCTGATTTATAAACACAAGTTCTCTCCTCACAGCTGTCTTATCTGGAACAACAGAGATATTTGATAGAAAAACAAATCACCATACAATATTGTAGTTACGCTGAAAGACTTTGCAGTAGTTTTGACGCCATTCCATCAGACACAATCCTACTTTTCAGAAACACAGCTGCTTCTGTCTCTGAACATCACTTGTTTCAGAAGGAAACTCCATCTGTCCCACATGTTGCATCACATTGGAAGTGATTTTTGTAAATGACGTGATGATTAACTGAAAAAGCCTGATGATTGTGACTGTGAACAAAGTGCATGAAGCTAATAGTTCACAGATGTTGTTGATCAACACAAAGTGACCAACCAGAAACTGTGTTGTTTAAACAGCAGAACGTTCTGGCAGATTCATCGTTTATCATATTTATATTTTACATTGATGTGGGAGAATTAGGATATTTAGCTTTTATAAAAGTCATGTGTCCTGACAGAACCTCGGAGTCCGTCCTCGGGAGCAGTTTGTCTTCTTCTGCAGTTGCTTTAATCTGAACCAAAGTGTCCTAAACACACCTCACTGTGTGGACCCGCACAGGCTGGTCTCTGTCAGACTCAGGACCCGTAGTGACTTTATTTAGGAGCTGTAGTTTTTTAAAATTAACTCACTAGTGTTGGAAAGTAAGCTGACTCTTGGCGGAGACATCGCTGAAGAATGTGGAGGTTTAAAGTGTATTTAAGTACCACTAAAAACTACAAATTTAGCTCTTTATACACTTTCACTTCTCTCAATTCAATTTCAGTCCACAAGATTCAGTTTTAGGGTCAAAGACACTTCAAGGTCCTTCAGGAAGAGCAGTCTGGTGCATATGAAGCTTGCTTTCTTTCCCACAGCCAGCAGGGGGCGACTCCACTGCAAAAACAAGCTTCCATCAGAAATAATGGTTAAAAAAAGCTTCCCACCTGATTTATTACCTCAGTAAAGACTTTCTAATGAGTTTCTGATCTCCACAGTCAGTTGCAAGTAAATTCAGCATGAAATCCATTTAGTTGGTTTTGGTCCCATTTAGAGGAAAAATGGGGGGGGGGACTTTTAGTGAAGCTTGAATACGATTTCAGTTGCAACTGAATTCAGTTTCAAACTAATAAGTCAAATTTGAAATTATGCTTTTTAAATTCAGTTTTTAATGAAATTATTCTAGTTGACCTGTTCAAAGATACGTCAGCCCATAGGTGACCCTGTGTAGTGTTGATTTTTTTCCTGCATAATTTAAAAAAAAATTCTATGTTGTTTCAGAAGCTTAATAACTGTGTTGTAGAATAAGTGCTGCATTAACCCTGAACTGAGTCGTGGGTTAAAGCTTAATATTATGAGCAGTAACTTCACTGACGTCTCTCTTCAGGTTAGTTTGATTATTCAGTGATTTATTTGGATTTAGTGTTTGTTGTGTTTTACTTTGAAAGAGTTTTAACCCTTTTTAGTTTGACCTCTGACCTTTTCTTTCTTTGGCAGCAGCTTCCTTCAGACGTCCTCACAGCTTGTTGGGAACTTTATTTTCTTTATTGCTTCTTATCTTGCTGAAAGCTGATTGAACGAAGTGGGCGTCCCCTCTGCTGAAAGTGAGCAATGCAGACTGAGCGCGCTCACACAGCTTCTGTAGACTAACAGGTAAGAACAAGCTCAGCATTTTAAAGCTCTTCAGAGCTCAGAGAAGTCCAGCAGGAAAACACTTCTGATTTATTAATGATGCTCTCTGTGATGTCCCCATCTTTCGGCTGCTGGGATGTCTGTGTCTCTGTATCCTGTGTTGCAGATGTCAGGAGGCGTGGCTAAAATCATCAGCTGTTGGAGCCACCTGGGCCCGGTGTTCTCCACTATAAGAGCGTGTCGGTTGTTCTGCAATGGGGGCTAGAGAGGAGGGAAACCCTGTTCCCTATGCTCCACGCTCCTTGTTATTTTCTTTCTTTTGTCATACAACAATTCACACACTGTTCTTGCAAGCATGCATACCTGCTGACATGACTGATCTACTGATTATCAAACCTCATATGATTTTTGGAATGTTAAGTTGTTTTTGTCTAGTTTGAAATAAATGGTACCTTTTCTGCAGTTTGTGTCATTGTCCTGGGTTATCTTGTCGTGGTTTTGAGCCAGCAGTGACAATAAGTCCTTACAGGTGTTCCTCTGACAGCTGAGTCATTATGTCTCTGACTAACTAACTCAGTAATGTAATGTTAGAAGATCTAGAGTGGTCAGTAAGATGGTCACATGACCAGGAGCCAAATCCAACAGCGTTTGTGAAAGTGAGGCTGACAAATGTCCAAATCTCAGCTGGAAGGAGAACATCAGTGCTGGACAGATAATATATGGACCATGTTCCTCTGTAAGACAACGAGCAGCTGAACTCTGTCTGGCTGTTTGAACCAGGTTTCTATGGATCAGTTCTGAGAAATTTACCTTTAGGGGCTGAAGAAATATGAAGTCACAGCCTCATCAGGGTAAATATTAAACCAACGGTCAAATATCATAAAGTGTATGAGACAATAAACACTGAACGTATGGCTCCACCTCCTCCTGAAATCAGTTGGTTAGATTTGTTTTATTCATTATTTATGAGTTAATATGTATGTTTTTATTAACGGTGGATCATTTATAGAGACCACCTTAAAGGATGTATTCATTTGACTGCGGTCTTTGTAATAGAATGAAAACTTCAGAGACTGAAACTAACATCAAAGCCTTTATCTGTCTGTCTGAGGGTTTATTTAGCTCACTGATTAAAGAACATTTAGTTTTCTTCTCCTAAACTGTTTCAAGTCAGATTCATCAGACTCTCTTTGCTGCTCACCTGATTCAACTTTGGAAGGGGGAGCTTCAAAGCTAATAGCATCGCTAGCGACAGTTAGCAGCAGTTACTTTAGCATCAAGTGAAGCTACCTGTCCATCAGGAAATTCTGTAAATCACAGGATCCATCCAATCTGGGGTGGGCTCCTGGCCGAACTTTCCCCAGAGCTGTCAGTCACACTGAAAGCAGAGCTCTGTACAATATAATCAAGCTGCTCAGAACTTTGTTTTTGCCATAAATGTTTGACTAGGATGAAATAAATATGAATCCTTAATGGTCACCTAAAGGTACGGTCACGTATACTTCTGTTCATCAAAATGTTGCTGTGCTGTGTTCAGCACCCTGTTGTGGAAGTAGATGGACGGCCTTTATAATACGGCGGTGTTTATATCCACGTCTCTGCTGAGTGGGTAAATATTTTGACCCCCTGAAAACAGCTGTGATGTCTACTTTCTGATAAATGGGTAATAAATGAATATCGATCAGACTGTAAACAGTGGATGAGAGTGACGCTGCAGCTTGTAGTCTGTATTGTGATATTGTACTAAATATAATGATAAAACATTAACTTTTCCAAACACAGAGCAGCAGAGTTTCTATTGGCTGACAGAACTTGTGGCAGTCGGAGCTGAACAAAGATGAACTCTGACAGGAAACTCTCGGATTTGTCCGTCTTTGGGCTTCAGTAGAAGTGAATGGGAGGAATTTTCATGTACCTGAAATGTACTGTGACCTTACATTCACATCATAGCTCCGCCCACTTACTACTTGAGTGGAGGTCTAATCAGCCAGAAGAGGTGAAAACACCTGCGCAGGTAATATCTGATCACCTGTCTCTCTCTGTCTCTCTCTGTCTCCACAGAGCCTTTCTGATCAGCTGAGCAGCAGCAGAGAGGAAAACCTGCAGACTGAACTTTGACTTAGAAGCAGAGGAACTCTACCTGAACACATTTCATCATGGGAGGACAGGAGAGCCGACCTATAAGACAAAGAAGACGGAGCAGAGAACTGACTCCACATCTGTCTGAATTAATGGACAAACTTAAGAGACATTCAGCTTCATTCATCAGAAGATTTGACAACAGTGAACTCAGGATGAGACACATTGTAGGAGAGTTTCATGAGATCGCTGCTGAAGTCAGAAAGATGCAGAAGATGGCAGATGAAGCCAGAATAACAGCAGTTGTTGCTGGAAGTATCGGACTCGGAGTCTCGGTCATTGCAGCTCCACTCACTGGAGGGTTGAGCTTATTAGCAGCAGGAGCAGCAGCAACATCTGTAGCAACAGGAGCAGCAATAGCAGAAGGAGCTATACAAAGAACAAAAACAAAAAAGAGAAAGGAAGTGCAGAGAAAATAGAAACGCTGGGGAGAGATTTCCTGAGGACTGTTGAACCACTGAAGAACGAGCTGGAAGAAATAAAGACGACGTGTGAATTGTTGAAAGAATCGGCTAAAGTTCAGGCTAGAAACACTCTGTCAGAGATTGAGGAGTTTCAGAGGATCCTCAGACGAGTGGATGAACTGGGAAGAAGGGAAAGAACAGCTGCAGAGGACAGAACGTTCAGAGCCTCCATCATTCAGTTAGCTGATCATGGATGAGTTTAAAAAGATGAAGACAGAACTCAGCTATTATAGTACCTCTAGAAATAATTTGCTAAATTTGTACCTTTAGTGGTCCAACAGTTTGTCACCGGGGCAGTACCCTCAAAGGTACACCCATTGTACCCCTTAACATGGGTACATATTAGTACTGTTACAGTTTGTACCTTATGTGAGCAAATCTATACCACTGGGCACAAATTTAGTACCTAAATGGACCTTTAGAAATGGTATAATATTAAATAACTTTCATTTCATTACTCACTTCTCTGGAATATTTCAAATGTTTCTAAGAATGACATACAACTTATCATCAATATCGTACATGTTGAGGAACTGAAAGTCCATTTCTTGTCCTGGTTTGATTACGCTCCACCGAGGATCAACCTTGACTAAAAGTTTACCGCACAGAAGCCACATTGTGAATATATCTGGTAAGAAAAAATAGAGGAATATTCTCTGTATGCAAGTAATCAACAATGAATACATCTTTACAAGCATATTTTACTCTGTCAATGATCACCTGACACACGCTGCATGTTTTTACATGCATATTCACTCCCATGTACACTAGCAAGTGTGCAATCTGTGTAGCTGTAATGGGAGCGATGAAAACTGAGTGTCTGTGCTTGTACTTGTCACCATCTCAAAGTCATCAAGTATGTTGTGTGGGGAAAACTCAGCACTGTCACTTCAGGCTCGACTTGGACTCGAGGTGCGGGACTCGTGAACAATGTTTATTTTTTGGAAGCGTCTGATGAGCGTGCTGTTATTCCTCCCTCCGTTACCTGTAACCTGCCTACGTAAATGTAATTATTTACGTCCCGCTGGCTGCCATCATGTTAATTATTACCGTTGGCTAGAAAGAGGTTACAGGTTTATTGTTGATCAGGTAACCTTACAGTTTTATTTAGTTAACTTTACACTGGGTTTGAGAGTCAACAGGGTTTGTTGACTTACAGTATTTAATAAGCTGTCATTAATTGTAGACACATTGTACATTAGGCTACATGGTTGTGCTCTGTAAGTTAAAAACAGGTTACAGTTACAGAATTCCTTATAGCTTTGCAGTTTTATAAGCAACCTGGATTGAACGCAGCAGCTGATACAACATTCGTAATAACCACGAGAGACTTGAGACTTGACTTGGGCTCTAGCTCAAAGACTTGAGACTTGACTTTAGCTAAAAGGCAAAGATGATAAAAACTAGATTTCACAACCGCATTTATTTGTTTGTCAAATTTAAAATCACTGTCTATTTTGATCCCAAGGTTAGTTACAACAGGATGCACAAAGTCATTGAGGGGGCCCAAGTCTATCATGTGGGGGCCAAACTGCATGATCTCTGTTTTACTCTCATTCAGTGTAGTGGCCATTTGTCCATAAACTTAAACAAAAACAAATAATAACAAACTTCTCAAATGGCCACTTGAGGCTACGTCATGGTTAGGCTTTACGCAGGTTCAGAGGTACCAAAGCAAAGTGATGTCCATAACAAGACGAAGAAGAGTTTGAGGAGGTTTATTCACACACATAAGCAAGCTTACAGACATTTCTGCTGCCTCTCTCACGCTGGTAAAAAACCATATGCCCTGGTGCCTGCAGCACCTCCCACCTTGACCTACTTATGCAAATGATCATAACACCATGTGACCAACAAACGACAACACAAGTAAAGCATAAATACAAAATAAACCAAATTAACTTTAACAAGAAAAGAAAAGAAATAAATTAGGCTATAAATGAACTTAAGTCCAAAATAAACAAAAATAAAAATATAGCTCCAACATTTAGTTTTAAGAAATTTTGGGCTAACCACGCTTTGACATCATTTAAACAGTCAAGTAGGGGTGTTTACTGTTTCACCCTGCACGCTTCATCAGAACAGACCTGTGTTTCACTGTGTGGTATTTTATTATTTTATCATGTTACAGCTAGGTGAAGTTTTCCATGGGAAAGATGCTCATTAGAGAGTTTTCTTATCAGACTGTCCTTGATAGGCCTTCATCTCAGGACAGCTGGTCCCGACTCCCTTCCTCCCTTGGATAGCTGCGTAATACCCTTACAGTATAAAGTCACCTGCTTCTTCACTGGCTCTTTGTCTTACACTCTGCAGACTGGTTGCACTCTGTATGTCTGTCTGACCCTTTGCAAAGAATAAAACCCTTAAAAGACGTCTGACTCACTAAAGGACATATTTCCATTTCACTCCATATGTCACTTTGTGCTCAGGGTTTTCAATACATGTCAGATGATACTCATGTGCCTTTGTGCTTCTCAAAATCGTCCTCGTTAAATTCATGTTCTTTCAACATGTATGGAGATCTAACTTTTAAAAATCACTAGACTGTATCACCTCTCTCAGTTCAGGACATTCCAAAATATTGAACCCATTTTCTTGAAGATGGTAAGTAATAAAAGTATTGTAACGGTCTTTAAAGAAACAAAATAAAAAGTTTAGGTCATTTACAATTTCCTGTTGGACAGCCTGTGGAATGTGTTTTTTTCCCCTCTACATTTCAGCATGAAGCTACTATTTTTAATAGTTTTATTGGGGTTTTTTGTATCTTGGAGACGGCCATGCTCAGGGTAAAATAATATAAAGTAAAAGAAATACCTAGAGTTGAGAAATGAATTTGAATTGAATCAAATGTACATTTTA